CGCTGCCCTCGCAATGCAGCCGGGGCTCCAAAACACCGGAGAACGCGTCTCTGGGGCCCGCCGCGGTATCCATGTCCTCAGAGCAAGGCCTGACTCCCCCGGGGCCCGCGTCCCCTCAGGACCTGCCCCTGGAGCAGCCCGTGATCCTCAGCACCAACAGCCTGGCCGCGCTCAAGGTGGGCACGCAGCAGATCATTCCCAAGAGCTTGGCTTCGGAAATAAAGGTGACGGGCAAAGGCAGCAGCCAGAATGCGGAGACGAGCAAGAGGGTGCTGAAGGTCCGCAGCATGGTGGAGAGCCTGAGCGTGCCCTTGGTGGCCGATGCTGAGGAGGAGGCCGAGGGCGACCTGGAGAGCCCGGGGACCCTGAGGCGAGGCCTGAGGTCCACGTCCTACCGCAGGGCCGTGGTGAGCGGGGTGGACTTCGACAGCTCTGCTAACTTTAAGAAAAAGAACAGAATGTCCCAGCCCATACTTAAAGCGGTGGTTGAAGATAAAGAGAAATTTTCCAGCCTGGGGAGGATAAAGGTAAGTGGCTGGTCATGCTGGTTTGAACGGCTCAGGCTGCTCAGGAGCGTGGTTCACAGTCTGTTTTACACAAATACTGCATGTTTTGGTTTTTTTTCCGTTTGCTGTTTGCTATTAGAAACTTTTTCGTAGTTATGGAGGAGTCCCACACATCACTAAAAGTGTTTTGAAAGTAAAGTGGAGGCTCCAGGGATGCAATTCTGTTGGAATCTGGGCAGATCAAAAATGTGTTGATGGCAGCAGCCTTGTGCTTGCTTTTCCTGCTGGATTCCCCAGCACGTCGAGGTTTTCTTTCACAATCCAACTGATGTTTTGAAACGTGTTTCCAAGAAAGTGATAAACAAGGAAAAAAAAAAAAGACATGGACTTAATAAAGTTTGCATGCTAGAGTAAACTGACAGAAAAATAAACTTTCCTTCCTCCCTCCCCTGAGACGTGACTTTTGAAGTGTTTTTAAAAGACAGAATGTGATTTTTAAATTGCTAGAGGCCACTAAAGGAATCTTTTTGTAGCTTAATTTTAGTGCCTGCAAGTAAAAAGAGAAAGCTTGATTTGAATTCTTGATTGTAATTAATTAGGAGTAGTAGATTTATACTGAAAGTGATTATATCAAAATTAAATTATAAAGGCTTACTGAAAATACTGGTTTTTGGTAGTAGCATTTTTTAAACAGATTCCTTAGACCATACAACTTGTTGCACTTAAACAGCTGTTTTATTTCAAAGGTTTGTTTTGGTCTTAAAACGTTAGTTCACAAAATACTTAAGGTGGTTGTTCTTTGCAGGGTGTTTGGAAGTAGCCAGCCCCTCAGGCCTGGACCTTATATCCTCACAGAAAAGCCCAGTGACAGTGGAATGAGTTACAAGTTCACTGAACTCTTGTAAAGCTTGTGTCCTGTGCTTTTGAAACACAGGAGAAAGTGAAGCATTTGGGACAAATGCATATAACCGTGCACCTGAGAAGGGAAACCAGAATAGCTTTGCACTTTCTGTGATGAGATAACTGTTTGCATGAATACTTGTCTGACAGCAGAAGTTTATAGATTAGGGCCTATTAATTTGGGGCTGAAGTATCAAATAAAACAAAAGTTCTTATTACTGTTGGTTATTTTGCATTCTTGTTTTAATGTGTGTTTTTCTCTTGCTTGTTAAAATTTTCAGAAGAAAGTGCTGAAAGGACAAGGGACATTTGATGGGGAAGGTAAGCCCTTTTCTTTGCAGAGTGGGTAATATGTTCAATCACAAGAGAAATGAGCTTCAGGATAATTTTGCACACTTCTCTCCTTTGTGTTTAAAGACTGCCTTATTTTTCAGTAAACTGAGTAAAAGATGGAACCGTAATTTTTCACTAGACATACTTCAGGGAATATTTTAATATCTTTTAAATATTTTAAAGACTATAGAATGGCAGGCTAAAAATGGGCTTTTATTTGAAGGGGTTCTTTCAACTTCAGCTCCTGTCCCTCCTGAAAGATGACCAGATTGCTGTGTCTAGCTCAGCCTTACCTGTTCTGTAGAGTTACATAGATAGGGCTTGTTCCTCCAGCTGGTAGAGCCTTCCTGCCTGTTCCCTAGGACTCTTCCCAGGTGCAAGTCTTAGCTTTCATGGATCAGCTCACAGGTGGAGCGTGTGCAGGGGCATGTTCTTAATAGCATCGTTAAAGAAAGTAGAATTCAGGTGTAAAGTTTAAGTGTCAGAACTGCTACTTCTCTGCATAATGCCTCCTTAAGGTTATTTAATTTTCTGTGTTACCTCCCTTTTCTCCTGTTTCTATTTTCAAAACTTTCCTCTTTGTCCTGTTTGCATCACCCCCCACCCTACTCTTTATTTTTATCTCTTCTTACACTAACTCTACTGATGTTTTTCTGGATTCTCCTTCAATGGCTCCTTTCTATCTTGGACTGATCCCAACTAATAACTTTGTCTGCAGTGCCTCTCAGAAGTCAGTTACTATACACAGTGTCCTGTTTTAAAAGTGTTTAAACTGGATGGACACATTCCAAAGCACAAACAGAAAAGGCCAGACCTTGTACAGTCCTGAGCCAGGGCTGTGTGGTTGGAGCAGGTGGAACAGATCCACCCAGCCTGGTGTGAGACCTCAGGAGCTGCAGCTGTGCATGGAGCAGCCAGACCTTGTGCTTCTTTTCCCCCTCTTGTAGGAGAAAATAGCATATTGTCCAAAGCCTGGACCATCTCTAAAGTACCTTTTAGAGCTTGCTTTCTTAACAGCTTAATCTCTCTGTAGGTTATTTTGGTCTTGAATTTCTCTATCCTTTTCTGGCTTCATTTGAGAAGGGTGTGTGGTCAAGGAGTTGGGAAATGGAAAGGCTGTCCTGCACCTGTGTTCCTTTGCATTGATGTTACTACATTAATACTGTCAGCACTGAAATATGTAATAAGTGTATTTTTAAGGTTTGTAGGCCTCATGCTTATTCAAGCAAGCTTTGATTTTAATCTGGAGCAGTTTTGACCTCAAATTTATGAAGTTTTGATAATTTCCTTCTCTTAAAGAAGGGCGAAGACAGAACTTAAACGTGACAAACCTGGCATGGGTAGTGGAGTTCAGTGGGCTTGTAGATTAAAATAGCTAGTCCTCCAGATCTGTGACTGCTCTGCTGGTGTGCTTGTTCCCTTCTGAAATTGCTGGCTAATTACAAAACATTGTACAGCAAACCAATGAAGAAAAAATTGTTTTCTGTTTTTTCTTGACAAAGGACACATCTGTTCTTTAATTCAGTCAGTGTGGATCTTTTTGGTGGTGGTACAGCAATCCATTGTTACTGTACCACACCATTGTCCATCCTCAATAAGATGCTATCTTTGTCTCTTGCAGTTTGAACAGCACATTGACATTTTGGTTTCTTTCTTTGTTTAAAAATTAACTTACAATTTTCATGAAAGCAACTAAACTCACTTTCTAGCAATTAATGACATCCTGTTGGTGTTTTATAGAAAATGCTGTATTATATCAGAACTATAAAGAAAAAGCTCTGGACATAGATTCTGATGAAGAGTCTGAGCCTCGAGACCAGAAACTGGATGAAAAGGTTGTTTTTCACTACAAGCCCCTGAGATCAACATGGAGTCAGCTGTCTGTTGTGAGTATCTGAGCACTGTGCAGCCAGCCAGAGGCAGGGGAGGGATCTGAGAGTGTAGTGAAGCAAATCTTATTTATTGCTTAAGTTTGTAATCTTCTTTTCCTTTTCAAAATATAAGGTGTCTCTGAGTATTTTTTTTTTAATCAACAAGTTTGAAGCTAGCCAGGCATTACCAAGCTGGGTAGAACACTGCTTGTGCAGATCCTCAGCAGAGTTGTGCTTCATGCTAGTCTGGGTTACTGTATCTGCCTGTTCGGAGTGAGGTACTGACAGGATGCCTGGAAAGACAGGTTTAAATCCTAACAGCTCAGAAAACTCAGAGTGAAATACATGCTTTGTAGTTCCTTTCAGTAAATTGGAGTGGTGTGGACCACACCACAAGCAGGATTTAGTTAAGTTGTTTTTTTGCTGGAGTTTGTTTTTCATATCATAAGAGCAACATGGATCAATTACTGGTCTTTGTTTCACATAAAAGGCAGTGTAATTGAGAAAGTTCATTTTAGGATCCTCTGTTTGGCCAACTTTACTGATTCTTATTTAAAAAAAAAAAAAAGTGTAAATTCACTAAAAGGGTGAATTATACCAAAGAAAAGCTTCAGTTAGTTTCAGACAAGTTTCTGCTGAATTGTTCTAAATTACTCTTAAGTTGATCTGACTGCACATACTGAGTGGAAACCATTTTAAAGAAGCCAACTCTGCAGCTGGTGGTGTTCTGCTGTCCTTAGCACAGCCTGTGGAGCATGTGCAGGGGCTTGTTCTTAATAGCATCGTTAAAGTAGAATTCAGATGTTGTAATCTGCCCTGTAATTTGCTAATGTGCCTGCTGGCAATCTGGAAAACTATTGATACTAGTGGATATTGCTTTACTAGTGGGCGTGATGTTGACACAAAAAAAATTGTAAAAATTCTGTGTTTCCATGGGTAATTTTATCCTTTTGATCGTTTCTGTGGCTTCTGGAGGGGTGTCCCTAAAATGAAGAGTTTGTGTTTTTTTTGTTTGTTTCTGTAACTTGTAGAGCGTTGTAGAACCTCATCTCTTTATGTGGCCTGGGGAAGGATTATTATCACAGGACATGATCCCCTGGAATATTTGTCAGCTGGGGCCATTTGTTGGGTACAGCCTTGGTCAGTTCCTTAGTAAGCTCACCAAGATCTTCTAAGGCTATTTAGATTGTCTGTTTATAAGAGCTGTCATGCAGATGTTAATGACCTCTTGCAGTTTAAGGTATTGTAATATGAATCTCTCTGATTCAATATTTACAAAGAAGGCAAGACAATGGTTTTGAGAAGATTTGCTTTCAGTTTTCTTTCAACAAATCAGGTACTTTAAATGTAGTTAATTTACTTAATGTTGCAAAAAAACTTTGTTTATACATGAAGTCAAATTGTTTTGGTTTGGGGTTTTTTTGCCTTCTAGGCAAACTAGCTGTTAAATGTTCAACATCTGAGGTATTTTGGAAGGAATGCTATTCAGTAATAATTTTTTAAAACACTAATTTGTTCTGAGACCAGAATAGTATGAAGATCCATCTCTGTAGGAGAACCACTCCTGAGCTGTGCTTCCAGGTAGAGAAACCAACATGTTCTTTATGATTTCTAGCACAGCAAACTTTTTCAGTGTCTGCATGTGATTTATAAGGATGTAGTGGGGAGCATATGGGAAAAGGTGGTGTGAAAACCAGCTCAGAGAGTCCGAATCTTGGAGTGCCTGTGTTTATAACTCTGGAAAAATTACATGCTGTCAATATGTATTAAAATGTGAGTGTGGAATTATACCAGGAAGTCAGCTGGAAAATGTCAGAGTATTTGGTTTCGACATACGTTAGGAAAGAAGAATAATACATTTATGGTATTTGTTAGTAGTGACTCTGCTGGGAAATGGAGGGGAAAGAGAGCAGACTGAACC